GATATCACTGATGCTGTATCTTGGATTGTTTCTGCTTATGGCGAAATACCCCGTGATTTTCTACCACCTCATCGTGGCGCGGAGGTGACTCTGGGTGTCGAACTGCGAATTACAGCGAAGGTTTATCCTCCAGCAGGGTCTCCCAAGCTGAGAAGGAGTTCGACGTAGGTTCCCCGAATGCCCAGCTAAGAGTAGGCCATGCCAGAAGCACACCGTCTGGCTGATTTAGTCGCTAGGTGGCTCCCTGATCCATATAAGGTCAGCGATTGCCTGTGCTGAAAGCTTGGCAGGGCCCTGGCAAGGCACTGCTTATGTCTGGGGAGATTCCTTTACTCATTGCCCGTACAGCATGTAAGAGAAAAAGAAGTGCACACTGGATCACATCGACGGCGTCGGATGTCATCAAGACCAGTGTCTGGTTACACAGGACGCCAGGGATTTCGGACCAAGAGGGCACATCAACGACTCGCCATGGAGATTGTCTCATGCACTGCACTTACAATGCTAGGACAGTCTCCACCAACGCCGATCTTCATGCCCTTCTCGAAGCTGCAGCCGCCTCAACTACCACGTAATCGCCCTGCACGAAACAAAGTCCAGGAGGACGGACGTGAGGCAGCTGAGTGATGGCACATCATCATTCGTGGTAAAAAGGTTCCATCGAACGTTGGAGGCGTTGGATCTGTCGTACACCCATTTGTTGTCCATCTTGTCGATTCGCATGTGATCCTATCACCTCGCCTGGCTATCCTTCGACCCCGTCCTCTGCATCAGAAAACCATCACTATTATCACTGCTATTCTCCAACATCAGCAGCTGACGATTCGGAACTTGATGCTTTTTATGAGAATCTGGAGGAAGTCATTCGCAAAGAAACCTCCTATAAGTTCGTGAGTGACTTCAATGCGAAAATCGGGATACCAGAAGAAGGGGAGCACAGGATCGGGAGATTTGGATTAGGATTCCGGAATGAGAATGGTAACCGTTTTGTTGGGCTCTTATCCGCCGCACGACTTTTTCATGGCAACTCCATTTTTATGAA